CTCGACTGTCAGTGATCAGACCCCACGGAGCAGGATTTGCCTTGCCGCACTGGCGGGAGACGACCGAGAAGCCCTGAGCCTGCCTGTTATTCCTTCCCTGGACGGCCATGTAGCACCTTGGTCTCCTTTGGCATCCCTGCACTTGGTCTGCCGGCTGAGAAGGGGTGTCTGGAGCCACATTTCTCAACCAGGTTTAACTCCATGCCCCCTTTACTTAAACCGCAAACTTCGCGCATCTCCTGAGGTTTTGATCTGCTCCCCCTGCCCCATCCATCAAGAAGCCCTGATAATAGCACAAGCTACATAGTGTCATTCTAAGTGCTTTACCTCTCTTAATCACAATCCGCCCCCTCAGGAAAGCACTGTTATTGTTCCCATTTTACGGGGCGGGGAGGGAGATGTGCCTGAGGCCACACAGCAGGTAAGCAGAGTTGGGGATTCAAAGCCCAGCAGTCTGAGTCCAGAGTCTGTGCTCTTAACCACCACACGGTACTGACAGAGGACCTAGCCCCTGTCCTGGTTACTGCCACCAGGAGGACTTTGTTAAGCGGTGCTTCCTATAGTTGCCACTGAAAACAATTTCTTTTTTCATTTTCCAAATATCAAGTTGAACATGCTCTTTCAGATGGCGCGTGACGCCCCGCAGCCCTGATAGGCTGTCTCACTGTCGCATTCGCTCCTGTAGTCTCCACCAGCTGAGAATCTCTGGAATGGGGGCTGCTGCTTCCCTGGCTACTTTGACCCTGCCCTTCACCTTCCATCCTCTCTCCTCTCCGTTCTGTCGAGGTCTCCAGGTGTCCACGCCAGCCATCTCCCCGTCTCCCTGGCTCCCCACCCTTCGTCTCCCTGTGCCTGCCTCAGTGGCTCCCCATCACTGCCCATTCCTGAGTTGGGGGCCCTCCCAGCCACCTCGGCACCTCCTCCCCACAGCAGGCCCCCTCTGACGAGGTGGGGTGCACAGCCCAGCTCCCGGATCCTGAGCTGTGGGAGCCGATGGCGGGCAGAGAGGATAGAGTTGGGTGGCCTCAGCACCATCCTTTCCTGGCTTAGAAAAATCACTGTTTCTTCTGGGGCCTCAGTTTCCACCCCCGTGAGGAGCCCCTCCCGCTGGCCTCTTGGAGCAGTCCTGAGGGGCCAGGGCTTGATGAGTGGCCTTGTGATCTCAAAAGTGATGTGTGCAGGGGACAGGTGGTTGTGAGTCCTCTGGGGCTGAAAGAGCCTGCCTGGTGGGTGCCCTCCCTCGCTCATTCATTTGGCACATGATTATTTAGCACTCATCACGTGCAGGTGCTGCTCCAGGTGCGGGGGAACAGCGGTGATCCCTCCCCGGGGGAACACGCATTCCAGGGAGACGGGTAGACAATACACTAAGTAAAGTGAGTGAACATTGCAGTGATATGTGAAGGACACAGCATTAGGCTGAGAATGAGATTATGTTAGCTGGACCGGGGAAGGCCTCTGAGGAGGTGACATTAAGCTGACAACGAGGCCTGTCACGTGAAGAAAAGCATTTCTGGCAGAGAGAAGAGCAAGCGCAAAGACCCTGAGGCAGGAGAAAGGTGGACGTGTTTGCGGAGCTGGAACAGAGGTGTTTGCAGAGCTGGAACAGAGGCGTGGGAGGGAAGGGGGCATGAGGTGGGGTCGGGTCAGGCAGGGCCCAGCGGGCTTGGCGAGGATTTGGGGGTTTGTGTGACCTCAAAGAGGAAGACCTTAGAAGATTTTCAGGCAGAAGTGTGGTGGTAGCATCTGATTTGCACGTTTAAAGACTGCCTCTGATTCTCTGGCATGGAGAAGGGAGAGTCGGAGCTGGGGTTGCATCTGTGAGACCTGCCATGGGCCGGCGCGTGGCTGGGCACGAGGTGATGGGGGCCCGGCTGGGCCAAAACAGTGCAAGTGGGCGATGAGGATGCTGCTGGATGCCACGTGGAATTCACAGCAGCAACGGGATATGGGGGGGGCGAAGGAAAGAGAGAGGTCGAGGATGATGGGTTCCTAGGTTTCTGGCTAAAACCAGAATGTTCTTGACCTGTGGTGTAACACCAGAGTCTCCAAATCTTGTCCTTCTGCCTAAATGGCAAGATGTCGTGTGAGCCGAGGCCAGCAGACCCTGTGGGGACTGCAGCCTCTGTTTATTGCTGTACGTTGCAGGGTGCTCAGGAATGTTGAATGAATGAATGGGAATCCTCAAGCCCTGCCTTCCCTTTGCCTCAGTTAACCCATCTGTAAAAGGGATTACTAATATTGTACCTCCACCCTCCGGCTCCCTCCCTGGAGGTCTGGCTACTCCCATCTGGGCCAGGAGTCAGCACCATCTGAGAGCAGGCCCTGGCTCCCCACGCCCCATCTCCAGCCCGAAACCTCAAATTACCTGTGGGGCGGGTGCTGCACCAAGGAACGTTTTCATCTTGCCCAGATGCCCGTGGCAGGCTCAACCCTCCCTTAATGACACCTTGCCCGCCTGCCCTCTTGTTGGAGTAGGAGGGGAGGGGGCCCAGCCCAGCCTGGGCTGTGGTTTCTTTTTCCATTGCGTCAGGCCTCAGGGTCTGGCCCGCCTGCCCACTGCGGGGCTAGCACAGAGGGGCCCACTCTGACCCGGCCTGCCCCAACGCCGGACATCATGTGCTCCCCATTTCGGGGATCCAGAGGCTTCCAGCCAGAGGGTGAGTTGGGGCTGGGGGATCTGCTCTGAGCTGGGGGAGGAGCGCCCCTTCCCCGCCCACCCGTTGCTCACTCTAGCTGGGGCCTGTGAGCTGATCCAGGTGAAGCTGCAGCGGGGTCTGGGGAATCCAGCCCAGCCCACACCTCCCCCTGTGACTTGGCCCTCCTGGCCACACCCTCAGCCGGGCCCACGTCAGTGACGGATAGGAGGGCACTGCGGGAACCCAGGCTAGTGATGATGGTGACTTGGATTGGGGGAGGGCGGGGGTGGGGAGAAGTGGCCCCAGAGTGTTCATATGAGCAGGTCTCTTTGCGTCCGTTAGCCTGAGAGCATGTGTGTACGTGTGTGTACGTGACCATACACATGTATGTGCACGAGGAAGTGCCTGAACCTGAGTGTGTGTACCTGACACTCCTTAGGATGAAAACAGCTCTATGACTTGGCAGCAGGGTGGCATCTAGCATGGTGGCATCTAGCATGTCATAAAGGGGGCCTGAGAGGTGGAGAGGAGGTAGATGAGCTGGAATCCACTCCATCAGTGACAAGGGGAGATGCAGGGGTGTGGACAGGGTGACCCAAGAGGAACTGGTGACCTTGGGTGTTCTGCGGTCCTCTTAGACTCAGGCTCCCGTTGGCCGGCTGACTCCCCAACTGTCCTCATCTACGTCCTAGTCCCCACCATGCTCGGCAGTCCCCCCACCCTAGCCAGAAAGCCATGCACTGGCCCCGGGAATCTGGAGAACCAGCTCACACTCTGCTTTGCTGTTTCATGGCCGTGGCATGTTGGGCAGGTGACTTCCACTCTCTGGGCCTCAGTTTCCTTATCTGTAAAATGAGGGTTGATATGATATCCCACCTGCACCTCTGGGAGGTCATAAGTATAAACGAGTTCTCTCAGCCACACGGCAAGATGCCCATTTTGGCTGGGTCAAAGATTCTGAGGGTCATGCTCACCCCTTCCCTACTTGGCGTGGCCACCCAGCTGCACTCAGTGAGAGTGAATGCCATGCTCCAGCCCTTCCGAGGAAACTAATTTCTACATGACAAGAATAAATCCTGCAGGCAAATTGCAGTGCTGTCCTGACGCTCTGGGCTCGTGTGATTATAATGAGGTTCCAGGGACAGACAGGAAGAGGGAGGGGCCGAGCACTGGCTTTGTCACTGTCCAGATCCTCTCCTTACCAGACATGCCTGGAATCCCTGTGTCTGGATGGGGAGAGGGGCCTCTGCCCCACACTCACCCAGGCCTCCTGCAGACTGGGGCCTGTGACAGCCAGGGAGAGGCTGGCACTCAAGGAGTGGCCTGTGGCCGGGTCAGAGGGAAGGGAAGTAAGCCCAGCACTGCCACTGTGGCTTGGTCCCTCCTGTCTGGACGACAGCCACCTCCTGGCCAGCCTTCCTGCTGCCTCTGTTTTGCCTGATAAACCCTTCTCCCTACAAGGGCCAAAGTGAGCTTTTAAAAACAGAAATCTAATCAATGTCACCTGTGTGCTCAGAACTCTCCAAGACTTCTATTCCCAGCTCCCTACAGAGCCTCCAGCCCGTGGGATCTGGCTGCTGTTCCCATTTCTCGGCCAGACCGGAACGTGAGGGCTGAGACTAGACAGTCTTCTTACTGCAGGATCCCAGCCCTGGCACAGTTCTTGGGACCTAGGAGATGCTCGGTAAACACTCTAGAGTGAATGAATGAGCTTCAGGGGCCTTTTCTGGGAAATGGGGCAATATTAGTACCTGCCTCACAAGACAGAATAAGGATCAGAGACATCATGCGGGTGACGTCAGGGCTCGTAAGCTCAGGAGGTCGGACTGGAGTTCCCAGAGGGTATGCCCACCTCTCCCTTTTCTCCTCTGGGGCAGAGCAGGGCCAGTTACCCACTCAACAGAGAGGGGGTAAGATATTAATTAGTTAAGCAGTTGGAGCCTGGGCTTTGTAGGTCAGAGTTTGGGGCTGGGCTCATCCACACTCTGATGGAGGCCGTGTGAGAGTGTCGTGACGTCTCATGGACAGATGATGAAACGAAGGCCAGGAGCCAGAGGGCTTGTCCATAGGGCCTGTCACCTCTGGGACCCAGAGCTCCTCTCTGCTCCTTGGGGTGGGTTTCTCCACACTTGCTCCAAATGAAGACCCTGCCCTTGCAGGAGAACAGAACTGATTAAAGTAAGCAATGCCAGTAACTGGGCTTGATAGTGAAGGGGGAACATAAGGCCCAGGGTATGGAATCTGGGGAAGCTGGGTACAGGGAAAGGGTAAACTATGAGTTTAGGATGAGGCCCAGCTCAGGCAGGATCTGAACACTATGGAGGGTTTATCTGTTCATTGATTTATACACTCATGGTTTTTTTTATTCAGATACATACTGACTGTGTCCTATGCACCAGTCACAGTGCTAGGCCAGGGACACACGATGAACAAGATAGACGACGAACAAGGTCAAGTTTTGAATAAGTTGTCAGAAGTGAGTTCTCTAGTGGCCAAAGCAATGATGGAAACCTGAGCAATTACAAGCTCCACTGTAGCCACAAGATGCCAATATGCTCAGGAGAAGCCCCGGTTTTCCTGGCGAAATGAATGTCTGAGACGCCCATGTCCACTGTGAGTTTTCTGCTGGTCTGATAGGGGCTACTTGGACCTGGTGTGTATCTCACAAGTAAAGATCAACCAAAGCAGAGAATAACTTCAAAGACAAACTAGACACATCTACCAGTCTCCTTTTTCTTGCATTTCCTGCATTTCTCCGATCTTTTCCCCCTTTACCCCCTCCCCCCCCACACCTTTCCTTCCATCCTTCTACCCATATACTGAAGGTAGGATGGTGACACCTCCTTAAGTTAGAATGGTGTGGCAGACATCTGTCCCGTCTCTGACCCCCACTCCTATCCCCCCAGACTGCCAGGAACTGCTGCCGCCACCGCTGGCAACCCCGATGGCCTACATACCGGGTGGGGGTGCCCCAGCATCGGGGGTGGCCCCCATGGGCTCCCAATATTGCGTGTGCAAGGTGGAATTGTCAGTGAGTGGCCAGAATCTGCTGGACCGGGACGTCACCTCCAAGTCCGACCCCTTCTGTGTCCTCTTCACAGAGAACGATGGCAGGTGGATCGAGGTGAGGCCCCTCCATGTGCATCCGTGTTGGGCGGAGGGTGGCCAGGTGGCTGGGGAAGGGCTCCCAGGGGGTCCTGGGGCCTCCAGGTCAGGCCCTTGGAGGTAACTGGAGTGTGGGCTGGGACTCCTTAGAATATTGTTACTCTTAAAATTAAATTTTATTTTACTGTGACTTAATATAATTACGTATGTGTTTAAATTATAATTCATAGACGTATTTTATAATTACATAATTCTGCATTTATTGTTTTATATCGCATTTGAAGTTATTATAATATTTAGTTAAAACCTTCGAATTTTACAAAGTGCTTGCTTCCGTTTTTTAAATAATTTTTCCCTCTTATTCCTCAATGGATACACACAGTCAGTGAGGGGCAAACAGAGAAATAGGGGATCCAGGCTTTGGTCCTGGAGCTGGGCCAAGGCCCAGTTCTGTTACTCCCTGCTGTGTGGCCTTAGACAAGTGGCTGTCCCTCTCTGAGCCTATCTCCTCATCTGTGAAATAAGGAGTTTTTTTTTCCCTGCCTACCTTGGAGATGCCAGGACTGGGGATGGCTCCTTGGGACTTCCAGTTCAGGAGTCCCAAGGAGCCAAGGACTCCTGAACTGGAAAACTTCGCCCTGAGAACTGGGGAGGGATGTAGCTAGAGGAAGGATAATGAGAAATCCAAACTCTAAGACTTTTTAAGTTTTAAAAAATGGCTTTGTTTTTATTCCAAAAGGGATTTTTATTCATTGTAGTAAATTTAGAAAAGCCAGATAGACCTAAGGAAAATCAGAATAATTGGATACCTGCCTGTCAGGGAGAACCACTGTTAACGTGCATGCAAATTTTCCAAAATACATATCAACTTGTCATAGTTACTGACTGGACCAGAGCGGGCATCCCGCTGAAGGTACCGTGGTTTACGAAGACTTTCCACAGCTATTCGCTCCTTATGACGCCAAGGAAATGGTCCTGAGATTGTCGATCCATTTTAGAGAGAGAAACTGGGGCCCAGAGTGGGTAGGGACTTCTCCGTGTCACCCAGTGTATTGGCGATACAGCCAGGGGTGGGAGGTAGGACATGGGGTCAGCTGAGGGCTCCTGGGGGAGCTCCGGGCCTGCGGCCGGAATGTCTTGAGCGTCCCCATCCTCTCTGCCAGGTCTCTGGGACACCCGCATGTCCCTCGGGGAACGGTGTCCTCCACCACTGCATCCCGCCCCCGCTCAGGCACTCCCCCACCTCCCTGACGATCTCCCACCCGGACAGGCCACCCTGGCTAAAAATAGTCCAGGGGCAAGACCTCTCCCTGCGGCTCCAGCCCTTGGAAATGAACTGAGTGGGAGGAAAAATCAACACAGCCCGGGCCCCAAAATAGACGGTCACCCAGACTCTGAGGTTTGGGGCCTCAGTGTGGAGAGGCCAGGAGGCGGGATTCCTGGCCCAGCCCTACCACTGACCCACAGTACAAGGCCTGTCCTTACCCAGGCCTCGGCTGCCACAGTAGGTGGGGTTTTTGAGCTGCACAATTCCAGTTTTGACATTTCTTTGACAAGGTACAAGCATCTGCCCTTGGGAGAGAGGGGCAGAAGCCCCCAACCCACCTCCCATTAGGGATCCTGCCTTATGGGGAGATCGCTCAGCTTCCATGTAAAATGTGGTTTGCAAAAAGAATTTTCCCAAAATAAAAAAGATGAAAACCAGACTCAAATCTCTTCATTTTATAGAAGTAGAAACTGAGGCTCAGATGAGAAAAGGGACTTGTCCTCTGTCACTTACCTAGGCAGGGACAGGGCCCCAGCTCTTATTCTGGCACCTGGATATGGAGCCAGAGCCAGAGGGTCAGACCTGGGTTCAGATCTTGGCCTTGCCCCTCCAGCTGTTCCACCCTGGGTAAGTCACTTGACCTCTCTGTGCTTCAGTGAGCTGACAGTAATGATTGCTGTAGTCATCCAGGTAACTGGCTAAATGCGTGGCAGAGTCAGTGTTCAGCCAGTTAGCAGAATGATTTCCAGCAGCCTGTGAAGGGTTGAACCAGCACCTGAGCCTGACTCTGACTCCTGTCTCCCTGCCCGCTCTGCCAGTACGACAGGACAGAAACTGCAGTCAACAACCTCAACCCCGCATTCTCCAAGAAGTTCGTCCTCGACTACCACTTTGAGGAGGTGCAGAAGCTCAAGTTTGCCCTGTTCGACCAGGACAAGTCCAGCATGCAGCTCGACGAGCATGATTTCCTGGGCCAGTTCTCCTGCAGCCTGGGCATGGTGAGCTGGGCCCCTACCCCAGATGTCACCGGGCTCCCAAGAACTGTCCCAAGGAGAGAGTCTCTCCTGCCACCTGCTTTCCTTGGCTCCATTTTCCTGGTTGGCTCCCAAGGTGGCATCACAAATACAGATAGCCTTTTGGGCCAGCAGCCATAAAAAAAGGGGAGTAGTATGGTGGGTTTGGGGCCAGGCTGAAGAGCTCGCGTTGGAAGACAATGCTGCCACACAGGAACTGGGGCCCCACGTGGCCAGCGCTTCTGATTTTAGAGGCAGTGATCAGCCATGGTCTTGACATCCTGGGGTAGGAGCATCCAACCAGTAACCATGACACCATGGTAGTCCTACTCGTTGCTGACTCAGCGTGACCCTGGGCAGCTTCCTCTGCCTATCTGGGCCACGCTTTCCCATCCAGCTCAGTCCTTGGTGAGCTTATGGAGGTTGGAAGGCCAGGAGCCCCTGACACAGGGTCTGATCATCCTCTATGGCTACGTGTCCTTGGGCAAGCCCCACCCCCTCTGGGCCTCAGTTTCCTCATATTTCACTTGGGGATAATGGTGGCTGCCCAGCTTATAGGGAGGGTGAGGGAATAAAATGAAAAATGCTCTGAGGTCCTAATGGAGATTGAAATGCCCTGGGCCTTCCCAGAGATAATGTTCAATGAAAAAAGCAAGGATCCAACAGCCGTTCAAGAAGTGAGCCATCCATCAGGGTCCCCGCCATGCTGCGTGTCCACACACGACAACCGAGGAGAGAGTTTCCGGCTGAGCGGACAGAGGCCAGGAACCTACGACGGAGGGGACACCTATGCAGGGCCTGACACCAGCGAAGCCTGGAGGGAGGGGCGGGGCAGGAAGTGGCTGTGGTCTCTGCACTGCCGCTGAGGCCAATGACAAGCAACGAAGCTTCCACCACACTGCAACCCAGCCTTTCTTCCCTTCCGCTCGCCCTGCTCCTGCCGAGGTCCCCACTGGCTGGACTCCCGCCAGCCAGAGGACAGGGAGCCAGGTGCTGCGGTGCACGGTGGTACAGAACAGGTGGACAGGGGCAGGGAGGGGACTGCAGAGAAGATCGGCACGGGGGAAACGGGAGCATGCTTCTATCAGCACAAAGCATACTCAGGGCATTTGCCCTAAGAAACCAAGAACCGGGGGGCCTGTGAAGGGTGTGGGAGTGGGGTGCACGGAGCTGGTGGGCAGGCCACTTTACAGTGTGGTCCACGCCTCCTTTCTCTGTTGTACTGATGCTGAACCTGTGTGAGTGTATTTCCTATCCAAACCAATGGAAATGCACAGAAGGACTTTATCAGAGGAAAATGGGGTCTGTGGATGGCTTTGGGGGAGGCAGTTAGGGGACAAGACTCCCTACGGTTGTCTCCAGAATGTGAGCCCTGCGAGAGCCTTTTTCTGGGGGCAGCCAGGTGGACGGGAGTCAGACTGCGGAGATTCCATCCCAGCGGTGGGACTTCAGGCAAGTGTCTTAACCTCTCTGGGCCTCAGTCTCCTCTGCTACCCATTGGGGTTAGCAATGGCTGCTGTCTGCCTCCCATAATGAAGATCACACAGGCGGAGGTTTCGCCTGGCACAGGGCAGCTGCTGTGAGCGGTGCCTGATGAGCAGTTTTCCTCACGGAGCTCCTCTCTCCTTCCTCCCCCCAGATCGTTTCCAGCAAAAAGATCACTCGGCCACTGCTGCTGATGAATGACAAGCCTGCGGGGAAGGGCTTGATTACGGTACCAACACCCCCCTCCAACCCCCTCTGCCTCTGCCCTCCGCCCCCCCCTCCCGCCCCCATCAATGGGCCGCTTCCCTGGCAGATAATCACTAGCTTTGTTTGGAGTAAAAAGGCCCAACTTACAACTTAGCAACAGGTCTCTTAGCAACGGGCTCCTGGCTCCACACATGATGCATTGGGGGCCGCCAAGCTGGGGATAGGGGCCCGGGGCAGGGGTGCTCCTACTGGTCCCTGAGGCCTCCAGAGCTCTCCCAGCATCCCTGCCTTGCACTGACTGGCCCCTGCCCGTGCTCCCTTGGGGGTCTTTCAGGAGTGCCTTGCCCATCGGAGCTTGGCTGTGGCTGCAGCATGCAGAGATTCCTCATGTGCAATGATTTCTTGCGATGCGCGAGCCCTTTGTGTGGATGAGCTGCTAGTCCTCACAGACTCCCAGAAAGCGTGGAAACCCTGTTTTACAGATGAGGGAACTGAAGCCCAGAGAGGCATGAGATTATCCCCTAGATTGTCCCCCTTCAGAGCCTGAGTGATTCGGGGACCTCCACATGCTGGAGGAGGAGGGCCAAACCTACATGTGTTCACGTGAAGTCACTCCCCTGCCCTAGAACCTCCCTGGCCCTTAACGGCCTGTGGAACCTTGCAGTCAAGGCCGTGAGGGACCTGGCAGTCCCCACCTCGTTTCCTGCCTCAGCCATGTTTCACCCCAGTCATGTACGTGCCCTGAGTTCAAGGCAAACTGTATTCTTGGCATACCTTGCACATACCCTAGGCCTTTATCCACAGTTCCTGCCACCTGGCATGTCCTCTCCCAACCCTCCCCCGACCTTTTCAGGGTTCAAAACCTCCCCATCACCCGGCCTTCACAAGCTAGTTCCCCTCTACCTGGAAGCCAACCCTGACGGACTGACTCAGCCTGGTAGGCCATTGCCCCCAGCATTTCCACCCGTCCCTCTCTAGGCCTCTGTTCTTTCCTCTGTGAAATGGGTGCAGCAATAGAACCCACCCCACAGCGAGTCTCGGCTGGAGGAGAGGAAGGGAAGAGGGGCGTCCAGCCTGGCCACTGTCTGTGGTTTAGGAGGGTGGAGAAGCATGTTCCGTGAGGTCATCCTAGAGGTGTGAAGGGGAAGGGAAGCCCTAGACTAGAGAAGACCCAGCTTACACTGCTGCTGTCAGCCAGAGGGCTTTCCTCAGAGGCTGGAAAGGGCAGATGACAGCCCTGGGGTCACCCAGCCTGTCCGTCACTGGCTGGGCCGGGGCCAGAGGGCCATGGCTGCTGGGGAGGCATAGACGATAGACGACAGCGTGAGCTGATGACACAGCAGAGGGAGCTCGGTTAGCTCCCATCCTCGCCCTGGGCCTCAGTTTCCCTAGCTGCATAGCGAAGTTGCTGGAATTCTCAATACCTTAGTGTTTTCAGGTGGCTGTGCTTTGAGTCTGCAGTGGGGGTGTGAGGGGGCCTGTCAGGGTGCTCCCCGGTCCAGAACATCTCCCCAGGGCTCAAGACCACCCCTCACGTCTGGTCTCTGCTTTATCTCCCCTCACCATCCTGTGGCCCCCTCTGCTGAGCCACATGGGGTCACTTTCTGATTCCTCGTATCCAATGGGTTACCCCTTTCTTCAGAAGATGGAAACTGATATTTGCGGAAGAAAAGAGACTTGTTCAAGGTTGCCTGGCGCTACCCCTCCCCCCTTCCCCCTTAGCCCTGGAGAGTCGGGGCACCCTGTGCCCGCCGGGGGTGTCTAAAGAGCAGGTCCTGACCCCTCACATTCCTCTGGCCTCACAGATTGCTGCCCAGGAGCTGTCAGACAACCGGGTCATTACACTGAGTCTGGCGGGCAGGAGGCTGGACAAGAAGGTGAGATGGGAAAGGAGGGGGTTCACCTTCGGGGAGCAGGATCCTTCCCCCACCCCCGGGTCACATGGCCTACCCCTGCAGCTTCTGGCCCCTGCTGTCATCACCC